GTAGTTACACTTAGATCATTAGGGATGAGTACTCCAAGGTCCTTGACAGAGTTTGGATCATCAACAAGGTCTTGACTATTTAGCTTGTATTTTATTTTCTGATTTTTTTCTGCCAATATGTAAGACAGAGCATTTATTTGTTGAGATTTGGTTGCCATTTGTTTGACCATTCTGATACATAGTTGAGGTCTTTTTGAAGGGTAGCAGTATTTTTCTATAAAAATTTTATTTGGGTTTTCACAAAACATAATACAAGTAAAATTTCTTTTTTTGAGAATACCATGGTCCCAGGTTATCACTTCTCCATACAGACACAAATTCAATTTCATATTCATCTTTGTGTTCTATTCCATATCTTATTACTATTTTAACATTTTCTCAATAATTTTTCCCTTCCCTTAGTTTTCTCAATCTTACTTTTAATTATCTCATTCCTTTCTAAATTCAATTATATATATATCTTTTTCTAAGTTTCAATATCTTTTTAATCATTATATTTATACTTTTGTCTGTCCTGTTTCAATTTCATATTTTCTTTTCTCATTAAACAAAATTGTCCCCTGTAGTTACTGATTGGAGTATGACACCTTTGCATCTTTTAATTTTTTTCCATTCAACTCTTATTTAAACTTCAATTTATGCTCTTATTTAAACATTCAATATAACACGTAACTTCCAGTTGAATTCTGCTTGGTACATTCTTAAAATACGCACTAAGTTCTTAAAGAGAAAGTATATATATAACAATAATAAATAAAATACTTATTCTATTCCAATTTGGCTCTATCATTAATGTTAGTTATAATCTTTAACATCTTTAACATTTCTTTTCAATAGGATATCATACTTCTAGGAACACTTATAATATTTCCATAATTTTTTCATATTTCTTTCATATTCCTCTTCACTTAAATTTTTATAACACATTAATAATAATTAAAATGTTCCCCTCCTTTCCTAATTTCATTCTTTCATTCTCTTTATTTCATTTATTTATTGAACATTACATTACAATGAGTATTTTATCTATCATTTCAATCACACTTGTTTCTTATTTTCAAAGTTCATTTCTATTTCTAATATAACAATACTATCTTACGTACGCTTGCAGAATCCCCTTTCAATTAAATTTTCTCTGTGTCTTCTAAATAGGCTTATACCCTTAATCCTTGTACATTTTCCCAGTTTCTCTATGTCCTGTTTCTGTACTTTATAATTTCTTTTCCTTTCCCTCTTCCCCCTCTTCTTCTCCCTTCCCTTTTTGACCCCTTCTCTGTCTAATTCTGATTCTCTCTTCTGTAATCCTCTCTTCTGTTTCTTCCTAATATTGTAATTACTTTTCAAACTATTCCTTTTTTGGGTTGTTTTTTCAAATCTTAAATTTTTCACTCTCTTTCCCCCCTTTCGTTTCTTTTCCCCCCGCATAGAAATATTTGGTCATTGAAGATGGCTTCTTCTTTGTCCCGCCCTTCTTGTTCTACAGACATTTCTTGTTGTTTCTCATAGTTTAGGATCTCCATTTCTAAAAATTGAAATACAAAGCCAAAAGAACCTCTTCCTTTTTGTGCATCTTCTTTCTTTAAGTTCCATTCTCAATTCTTCCAAGAAGTGATAACCATTTAAAAAACTTTTAAACCACCCGATTAATTTTAGTCCTTTAAATCCAATAGCCAAAAATCCAAAAATCACCAAGTAATCCAAATAATCCAAAGCTGTTTCTTCCTGCTTCTTTTTTCCACTTTCTCTTCCTGGGGTTCTATTATCTTGTTACAAAGTTTCAGTTAAAATGTATCTTTTAGGAATCTTGTTAAAGCTTCACTGTTTCACTTCCAGGTGGTATCCTCCATTTTTCCAGATCTCACCCTTTTGTTTTTTTTCCTTTTTTAAAAAGTTTTTGAGAATCCAGAAATCTTTATTATCCCTTTGACATTTTATTTTCAGCTTAAATACCTGTTAATGTCAAAGTGGATTTTTGCCGGTTTCTTGCTTAAATCTCTTAGTTGTCAATATAGGGAAGAAAAAAAACCCAAATCCTTTCCCTTCCCTCTCTCATTCACCGCTTTAAAGTCTTCTTTGGGAGCAATGTTATTCTTTATAATTCAAATTCCAGGGTATCTTATATTGTTGCTTTTTCAGTTTGACCCAGTCAACCAAAACTTTCCCTTCTTATCTTCTTCCTGCACATTCTTTTCCGGTCGAGTTCTTCTTTGAGGTGTCCATTTCTGACCACCGCTGCAACCACCTTCGGGAAAGGGAGTAATGGCCAGCTGGAGAGGAGAGATGCGACTCTTTTTGACCCTGCTGGCAGTCTTCCCCCTCTTCACCACCTCTACGGGGTGGCTTAGCCCTGAAACCAGCTGGCTTGGGGCGCTCCAGCGGTGAGCACCGATCGAAACCGCGCACGATCGCGGATTTTGGTCTTTCGCCGAAAAAGCTCAAATCGGAAGACGAAGGGTAGCAGTATTGTCGGTGATGTTGAATAGCTTTACATCATCAGCGAAAAGAACATTCAACATCATTTGGGAAGGAAGAAGGCTCCTTTCATTCAACTATATTGGTAACTTATTGTATTCTCTTTTAATACTGTTCTTTCAAGCATAGTAAAACAGATAATAAAAATGTAATTCATTTTTTCCAGAGATTCCATCTCACAACAGCTTGGCAACCTATTAAAATTTTGTCTTCATTTTTTTTGGCAAGAGCCTTGTACCTTTTCATCTTTAATTTATGAGTGCAGCATTATAAGTGACATGTCTTATTGCACCAGACTCCTACATTATTTATCAGCCATTGATTGATAGCTCATGCCCACAACCCCCCATGCAATATGCTCATCTAGAGTTGGTGGGAGGAGGGAATAGGACAGGAAACTTAAATGGCCAGCAGCTGGGGATGTGCACAAGCAGGAAGCATCTGCTCCTCTTCCCCAGCTTAGGGCTCAGTTCTTTCCTCAGACATGGCATGCCAATTTATGGGATGGCTGTGTCATCGGTGGGAGGCTTTTTGTAGATGTTAAGGGCTCACTGGAAATTTCAAGTTCAGTGGCAGGAATTGCTTTTTTGGAGATCATGAAAATTCAATCAGATCTGATGGCCAGGTTTGTTGGGGATGACGGAGAATGTGGCCTTACCCATCTGGAAGATACACAGTTAAAAAAGACTGCTGAATCTCTTACATTGTGGGTTGGGCTAAATAAATCTTGGGGAGGGTGAAATGTTAGCCTTTAGATTAATCCTGAAGAGACACATGACTTAAACCAGGAGAAAAGACAGAGTTTTGTTTAACCCCTTTTTAAAACAAAGTAAACAGAACTTATAGTTCATTGAGTAGAAACAGCAACCATATGTACATGTGTTCTATCAGTCCAAGACAGCAATAGTGTCGTATTCAAGAGATAGAAATTCTATTCTTTATTTGGAAGCAATTGCCTTAGTTAAAGCTGCACAATAGACATGATGATAAGGAATACATGTGGATTGTTGCACGTAATTGTTAGTTTGATAAAATAAAATTCCACCATAACCTGGCATATAAAGAGAAAACGCACTGATATAATATTACAATATCTTTTTGAATTTTTATAAGATTACATTCCAGAAAATGTAGACAAAAGGTTTCATTAAGAGTAAACATAACAAAGAGCATATGGCAACCTCTGACTGAACTTCCGAGCCTCCAACCTCAATGACATTTATAAGGAACCAAAGGTAGGCAATTTTACTCAGATTAAAATAAGTGATTTGCTCTAGAGATGAAAACAGAAAACTGGATTAAGCACTGACCTTCAACACCTTTTGGAAAGGCAGTTCTGGCATCAGTTTCAGTGAAGCTGCTTATGCATTGTGGTGCCTAAATTAAATTATTTGGCCCTTCTGCTAAAGGGCAAAAAGAACTTTTGATTAAAACTGCAAATGATATTTGATACCAGATTTACACAGTATACCATCAAAGAACTGTCCACGATTATCACCTTTTGAGTGTTTTCTCTAGAAATACTTTAGTAAAGAGAATTCTGAAGTTTCAGCCACCCATTTTGCATAGGTTTTTCAAAATATTTAAGAGGTGCTATGTGACACCTTCACCCCAAGTTTCTTCTAGGATGTGGATATGCTGGTTTAGTGCATTTGATCACTGTGTGCAAATTGACCAATCTTTGCATTGATCTGTTATGTCTACATGGCAGACAGAAGGAAGTGCCATAATTGGCCATGGAAATGCTTGCATCCAACCATTCATACAAAATTACAAACGTTTTGTGCAGACTTGATTAAAGCCATAATTCCAGGATCACTGACTCAGTTCAAGCACATATATGCCTGCATTCTATGAATAATAGTTATACATTCCATTATGCACCAAAGATTGTCATTTATGTTCTTAAAGCAATTCAAACAAATATTCACTATGAGTAAGAAGAGTTGTGCTCTAAACTGGGCATTATGAAGATGGGTGAAGAAAAAAATAAGTAAGGTCACTCTTATTTTGGGAAAGATTACCACAGTGTACAGGGAGTCCTTGACTTACAACCATTTGTTTAGTGACCGTTCAAAGTTACAACAGCACTCAAAAATGTGACTTATGACTGTTTTTCAACTTATGACCATTGCAGCATCTCCATGGTCACATGATCAAAATTCAGACACACGACTCATATTTATGATTGTTGCAATGTCCTGGGATCATGTGATCATCTTTTGCAACCTTCTGACAAACAAAGTCAATAGAGAAGCCAGATTCACTTAACCACTTAACAAATGTGGCGAGAAAGGTTGTAAAATGGGGCAAAATTCATGTAACAAATGTCTCAGCAACAAAAAATTGGGGCTCAATTATGGTTGTAAGTCAAGGATTACCTGTATTAAACTTTAGGCCTAGGATACAGATGTCATAATATATGATTAACCAAATGAAGTAGAAAACAGAGCATGCAATATGATGAGCTGAAAGAATCAACCTTCAGCTTGAATGCCAACTGTGTTTATTGTCCTTTGAGTTTATTCTTGGCTAATGTATTATTCTAATATGTAATTGTGAATATAGTTATTAAAAATACTACTATGAGCAAAAGATCAGCAATGATCCCTCTTCAAAAACAATCTAGCAAATGTCTGCATCAGAGTTTTCTATATGGCTTTGTGATATATACAGATTAAAATATTAAATAGAAGCACATGTTTAATCCCATAGAGTCAGTCCACGTTTAGCAATTGCATTGACAGTAACTTTATGATTTACTGAAATAATAACTTTATGATTAATCCTCACATTTATGACTTTTTCAGGTTTGAAAGGCAAAGCTGAAGCTGAAGTAACTTAGCGACTGTTTCATTAAATGACGTTTTCTAAAAAGGACAACCTGTAGAACTCTTAACAGAGAATCTTCCATCTTGCAATAATACTCACATATGCTTTCACTCTGATCAAACAGTATGTTACCATGAAACCCCAATATTTTCTCATACTCCTAGTTCACTAATGATGATAATCTACCTCATGGGGTTTTTAACAGTAGGGCTGCATATCTTGCCATCTTTGCAACTGAATGCTTCATTGGTTTCAAAAATACTAAATAGCAAGAGGATGCAAAGATGATTATTTATGCAGTCGTTTTTGATTGTAAAAACAGATGGTTTGGAGCAAAGCCTTTTTACAATCCCAGGACTATAGGCAGCTCGCAAACACGTGCAAGCCCTTCATGAAACCATGATGTTTTTATTAGGTGCTGAATAAGAAAGAACTCAGTTGAAGCGAAGGGCAGGTTGCTTTTCCATTGAACTTGATTCCTGTAGGATTTAAAGTACTCAGTGCAGCTCCTCTCCTGAGAATGATCTCAGTTTCATGATTCTTAAATATTACTTCACAAGGATTACATGGGTAGACAAACATTCTTTCTTTCACACACAACACTCTACACATTACAGCAGAACTATGCATACTAGAAGAACTGGTTTTGCTTAAAAATTGTCAGCAGTTCTGATGCTGACATCAAGCGGAGTCAAGGCTGGAATGATTTGGTTTGGATCACAGCAAAAGTACATTGCCAGTTTATAATCTTTTCCTGAATGCAGGAAGGGTATTTCGCGCATATAGGACCGCCAAGATTTGACAGCCATTAAGAAAGCAGCATGTAAAAGGGATTATATTATTACAAAATGTAACTTTCTCCTTTAGAGTGCTGGTTCACGGGTTCCTCATTGACTTCTTTCAGATGCACACCAGCTTAATATGTGGCATCATTTCTTAAAGTCCCTTATTAAAATAGACAAGCTCAATATCAGAATTCTTCTCTCTGATCAAATTCTGGACTTCTGGTTCCAGGCGATTCATCCGCATTGAACTGCAAAAGGAAATATTACACTGTTTATTTGAAAGTACATCTGCTGTGGATGTGGCACCAATAACTTAGAATTATGGTCACTGAAACATGTTTTAGAAAATTAGGGTTCTACAGACTTTGACAGACTTTATTTAATATGCCTTCTGGAGTGTTGGATCACAGGTTCTATAATCTCCAATCAGCATAGCCCTTTTAAAGACCTTAAGTTGGGAAAACTGGTTGAGCCATATATTCAACTTTGTGGCCTTTAGGGAAAAAAATTCTTTCTGTAAGAAAAGGTAAGAGGGCAAGTAAAATCAAAGTGTCCTACATTAATCATTTGACTGCATTATTTCAAATATCATTCAATCTCCATTTATTTAGTTCATAAACGAGATGGTCTGACTACAATGGAAAAGACAAAATAAGCAGGTTCAATACAAAAACTGTATGAATTCCATACCTTTATGACCACCCCACAGAAATGTGAAATTTGTTATTTGGTATGGAATTGTCCATCAGGATGTGTAAATTTCTAGTTTTAAAAAAAGCTCTTAAAGAAGGTAACTCTGGAAATATGTATGTTGGATTGAAAGTATGAAATGTCAAGAACTAAAGGCTGCCACTAAGGAGAAAATGTGCTTTTTGCCTTCAACCTTCTCTAAGTGACAATGGCTGTTCTTATCCCTTACTGCTTAGCAAATCCTTCCAGCCTGAAATATCAAGGAATAAATCTGGGGTCTTCTCAATGCAAAGTTCTGTTGCTGAACTTTATATCCCAGTTCCCAAATTCTTTAGCACAATTTTTGGGGAAATACTCCAGAACACATTTTCCTGAGAAATATTGAGGAAACAAATATTGCACCTAACCGAAAGCAACAGTAATTTGCAAGAATATGTAAGAGTGTTTCTTACCTCTTCTGTGGGAAGAATGCGCAGCAAAGAGGTGTGGCAAACACCAAACTACAGAAAGAAAGACAAGAATGGAAGTAGTAGTTTTGGTTGCCATTTTGTCATCGTGTACTTGACTCATGAGGAAAAATAACTATCACCAGCTACTTGAGTATCATCAATCATAACTGTCTACCATATGTAATGGATTTATGTAACTCAATTTTCCAATATCTGATTAGAAAGCTGAGGGAAAACAATACGTATAACACAATCCTATACTTTAGTTCTCTTGCTTCCCAATCAGTGTTTCCCTCTAGTATCCAGGGCCATTTCAGGTGCCAACCAAGAACACTGTAACATTCTTTTAATTAGATTTTTAAGAGGAAAGACTGAATGTTAATCCTTGTTCAGCTTCCCTAACCAGTTCATAAGATTTGGACTATAGTTGCAAGGTCCAGCTACAATGGACAATAGTGCAGGTTAATGACAATTGCTGTCCAGAATATGGATGGCACCACATTGGGGAGACCCCAGGTTCATCATCTAGTGGTGCTAAAGGATTGCACAAAGATTTTGAACTGATAGTACAAGTTAGCTACTCAGAACAGAATAATCAAGACCACCAAACTATGATCATAATCTCCCCAAAGGTTCACAAACATATGGGAACTCCCCTGTTAAATATTGGTGAAAGTCCTCATTAGTCAACAAGTCAAGTCACGTTACTCAGTATAGAAGAGACAGAAGTCCTGGATATCTGTTCCTGGATAATTCTACTTGCATCCAAGAAATATATCACTTACGTCAGGCCCACAAGTCCAATCTGCAGAGGAGCATTCATCCAGGGGTACCGCTGATGGAAATCGAAAAGGAATTGTTTACACACAATATTTATATAGTTTTCTAAAGCAAAAGTTCTTATTTATTTACCGTTTATAGTGGTGAAATGTTTTATGGAGCAATCATAGCCGTACATTTCTTGAGATGATGACAGACCCTTTTTGAGCCTGATACATAGAATATATAAGCAGGGGCAAAATGTCATGTTGCCACCATTCAACAGGTGTGTTGAAGTACATTAAGTACACCTTCTGCCTTTGCCATAGTCATCCTTCTGAAATATCTTCAGTGTTACGAATATGTCATTCTTCCTTGGAAGTCATTATACACTTCAGCACTTGGTTTTTGAATAGGGTTAAATTGCTGCTATGAATATTTCTATTTTGGTTGAAACCCAGAAACTGATTTAACAAACTGAAACCCTGGATAAAGCGGTGGGGGGGGCCAAAATGAGCAAACCTGCGAACCATCACAATGCAACTCCCACTTCTTTTGAACATGTGTACAATGATGATGCACATAAAAAGCCACAAAGGGCCTTGGATTACAACGTTTTGCTGATTTTGATACATATGAAAATCCCCATGGAAGCTGTTATCCTCAGCAATAAATGGTTGGAGAGGGAAAATGAATATTATCATTCATTTTCCCACTCCAGCCATTTATTGCTTGGAAGGACATCCGAGAGAAGCTGCCAACATCCTATATTAAGCTAGCAGTGGTACTTAAAGTGTTGCCTGAGGATGCCTGGAGTCTCCCATGACCTTTAGAGATTAATAGTTTATAGATTAATAGTTTAAAATCAACATTATTTTCCTATCAATGTTAAAAACTAATACAATATTAAAATCCCCTCAACAATCATGAGAAGAAGTAGTGGCTGTTTTGTATATGGCAATTTTAATTTTCAATATGGTAAACAATATAACATATATAAGCAAAAGCTGTTTTAGAGTCTTCCACAATTTTCAAAAGTGGGAAAGGGTTCTGGGAGGAAAAAAGATTTATAAACACTAAAATATAGAAATCAAATATGAGGTGAAAAGTGCTACTGTATATGGTTCCCAAAATTAATATCATAGGACTAAAATGGTAGCAGAACTTTAGCAATCTCGCTAAACTATTAATCTCATGATAGTTTTTAATGCTAGGAGCTAAACAGGGGTGAGCTTAAAATTTTTTAGCAACGGGTTCTCTGCCATGTTGCTGGGTGGGCGTGGCCATGGTGGGCGTGGCCTAGTTGGCCTCCTGCACCATAGCGGGGGGGTGTTTTTGCCCTCCCTGGGCTCCGGAGGCTTTTCTCGAGCCTCCGGGAGAATGAAAACAGCCTCTCTGGGCTCCAGAGAGTCTCTGGAAGCCGGAAACAGGCCCATTTCTGGCATTCCCAAACTTCCAGGAAGTCCGTTTTTCACCCTCCCCGAGCCTCTGTGTGCACCCTTCACTTACCTGCATCCAAAACGGGCCACGTGGGGACTCCTGGGAGGAGCGGGGTGAGGTGGGTGGGGCCAGCCAGGAGTGGGATTTGGGGGTTCTCCGAACTATGCAGAATCTTAGCTAGAGGATCTCCCGAACCCCTGCGAACCCCCAGCAGCCCAGCCCTGGAGCTAAACATGGCATAAGAGAATTTCTTTTTAGGTTAATCTCATATTTGCAAGAAAAGAAGAATCTGTTTCCCTTCAGGTTTCTGGGACTTTAACTTCTAGCCAGCATAGTCACTACTTCCAATTATAAAATTGACACATCTGGAGAGGACCAAATTGGAGAAAGCTGGTTTAATTAAAATGTATATAATTTTCATGTTCTTCATCCATTCGTTCAACCCTGATTCCAAAATAACTAACGTATCTGAAAAGAAAAGTAAATTTCCTTTCCCTGTCTTGCAGCTGCCATTTGCATAGGGTCGAGGTTAGGCAAAAATTAGGATTAAGCTTTGTCAACTTCTCTCATATTCTTGTGCTAGAAGGGAACCTGACAAAAAAAGGGGGGGGGAATCGCATCCTTCTAGGCATAAAGCTATGGAGCAATGTCAAACTGGTGGCCTGTGGGCTGGATGTGTCACACGCAGGCCTCACCCATCCCAGCTCCGCGAAAGGAAAAAACATAGCAATATGTCACATGATGGCAATGTGATGTTGCGAGTTTAACACCGTGCTATAGAGGAACAGGAACCTGATCAAGAATTTTTAAAAATCGTACCTTCATAAATGCTCTTTTCTCTAAGGCATTCATGATCACAGGAGGAATGGCTGTGCGGAAGAAGTAGAAGAAGAGTCAGACAGCATAAAAGTCAACTAGATGTCTCCTCAAGAAAGGGATAGAGATAACCTGCACATACTGGAGTTGCTGGGATATTTTTTCACTAGAAACCTTTTTCCTACCTTCAAGGTGCATTCCCCTCGGGATCCTTTGGATTACAAGTCCATCAGTCTCAGCAATAATTGAAGGTGATACATTAGAGAAGGTTATTCCAAGCACCAGTTATATATACTGAGATTTATGCTACAAGAAATACTTCTTCTCCTATCTCTAGCTCTCCCAAATGCCCCAACTGGGAAGGACTAACATGTTTTCTTAGTAGCATAATTCTTGATATTCTTCTAAGACAGAAGCAAGTTCCACTGAATTCAGAAGTTTCAATAACTAAATAGATATCTATTACATTATATTATTATATTTTTCAAACTCTATCTTCAGCTCTATTTTAATTTGACTTCAAAATTTGTCATTAAAAACAGATGGACAAAGAGAGAATATTCACTGACATTCAAATATTTGTTAAGGTGGCAACAACCAGTGGTGGAATTCTACCGGTTCGGCCCGGTTCCACTGAGCCGGTAGCGCCAATGAGCAGCAGAGACTGAACTGGTTCTCTCCAATGCTCTGCTGTTGGGCCCACCTGCCCGCCCAGGCTCCCATGCTAACCTTTACGTCCTGCTTTTGAAGTGCAGCTGCTTTGCGCAGCACAGCAGATTGCCATGAGGCAGCTGCTGAAGCAACAGGGAAAGTGCAGGATTGCAGGAGGTGAGTCAAAATGCCTCTGCGTCTGCACAAATGTGTGCGCGCACTCAACGTGGGCTCACCAAGCCACGCCCATAGAACCGGTGGGTAAAAAATTTTGAAACGCACCACTGGCAACAACATACCCATTGCTGGTGCAGCCATGCCAATGCGTGAAATCACCACTTGCACAATGGCTTGCCTGGCTGCCTTCTTCGATTCACCCAGCCGATTTCCATGTTCATCCATAATGGGGATACCAAACTTTAGCTCCCTGTAGAAATGGTTAAAAGGGAAGCATAAACTGTCTCTTCTTCATTCTGTCTTTTCTCTGCATTTCATTGTGTTTGTTTTTTCCTCATCTGTTGTACAATACTGATGGTTATGGCAATAATATTCAATATCCTCCTCTATATAGGCCCCCACATTATCAAAGAAAGCTTTTGAGCACTACGATAGAAGCCAGTCATTACAGCATGTGCTCATTACAGCATGTGCTCCCACCCAGTGGGCATTTGTATATTCCCAGAATTAAATCTATCTAAATCTCTTGACCATATATATGTCCTCACCAGGATCCACCTGCAGTACTTTCACAGTCTATCTATGGCCCACAGGCTGTACATTGTAAACCTCTTGCATATGAAATACAGGAAGTACGTGGTTGATTTTTTAGATACCCAGATGATTTCATTTTTGCAGGAAACAGCTGAGGAGAACTGACTAGTATATACCTCAACTGTCCCCAGTGCTAATTTCCAGTGGGACCCCAATGAAGTGTTCTAAATTTTTGATCTGTGTTTGCTACCGCATCTGTATTTTCAAAGAATAAATGAGAAGGGAAGAAAGTTGCTGCATGAAGGAAAGAGTTGAATGGAGGAAAGGATTATTGCTATTTCAGCATCCTATTCCTATTTTAGAAAACTGACTCAACTTACAATCAATATTAGCATACAAACCTTACATAACAATCAAACCTTTACCATGGTCATAAACCTTCCATGTTATCTTGAAGATCTATTCCAGGAATTTGAATATATTATTACAGCTATACATACTCCATGCTTTTAGTGTTATAAGATAAGATAGCCAATGTTACAGGTGTTCAGAATATGCAACCTATATGGAATTAACAGGAATTGAGCTTCCCATAGCAGTTCTCTCATTACATTTCCATCCAACACACTCTTACCTTTGTCTTGTTAATGGAATATTAATGCAGTTTGCAGCTGCCACAGCTGCAAAAGGCACATAGCGTCCAATGATTGAGGGCAAATGCTATCAAGATGGGAGGGTTGAAATAAGAGAAGGAAGAGACCTGTGTTACAGATTAAATTAATAACATGATGAACATAATTATATTTTACAACATAAACAGGGTCACTGATACAGTCAGGAACTGTCATCAATTCCTTTGAGAATTCACTCGATAATGAAATTTCAGAACTTGTTTTTTCTACTACATCAGATTCAGTGTATTTTTGTTCATGCATTGGATTATGCAAAGCAACTCTCTAGTTCACTAGGCAAATCTTTCAGATAGGTCTCCAACTGGTGAGAGAGCTCAGGCTTAAAACATACTAACAAAACAATCTCAACTGCTACCTCTATGCCCTACCTGTGTTCAGTTTGGTTTTCCTTTTTGGGCTAGTGTAAGAATTTGAGTCTCTTATCAGCTTGATATATAATCTAAAACAATATTACAATGCACTTTGGAAATCTCTTGACCTTTATGTAGAATAATACTGATGAAACACTTTTCATATGTTTGCAGTATTTTCTTCTTGTAACTTTGATATCGTTTTCTGTTTCCTTTTGTAATTGATATGTCAACCATTTCTTTCATTTACCTTCACTTTGCATAATTCATCTTTATTTTCATCTCTCTCACTAGTAACATAGATAATTGCCTGTGTAGGTGATGACAGCTGTTTTGACAACTAATATTCAAGCAATGGGAAAACAATTTTATTTAAATTAGTATGGCAAAGGAAAAAAACTATGAGTTGAATATAAAGCATTCCAATTATAAATTTTTTGTTGAAATTTGAAACAGGTAGAATGGGTTATAGAATGTATGATAAAGGGTGTTAAGAATTTTGGTTTTGACGGATCAATGGAAAATAGATGGATAAAAGGGTTGAAATTGACATTATGTTGTGATCTTAAAAAGATACTTTTTAATAAAATGATATATTGTTGGTACATGATGCCAGACAAATTATCTAGATTATATGAAGACATTTCATATTTATGTTGGGACTGTGAACAACATGAAGAGATATTTTATCATGCTCGATACAATGTAAAAAAGCTAAGAAATGGAATGAAATGTATAAATTGATACAGAGGATTTTAAACATTAATATTATATTGAAACTGGAACTTTTCCTTTTAGGATTGATTGATAAACAGTTAGAAAAAAGATGGGAGATTATTTTAACATATGATTACAGTAGTGAAGTTACCGTATGCAAAACAATTGAAAGACTTGGCATTACCCACCATTGAGGAATGATTGGTGAAATGGAGAGAATTTGCAAAGAGAAAAATATTAGGATGTATAAGTTGCTGAAGATTGACTGTCACTGCTTTTTCAATATATCTAAGCAGCTTTGTAAAATGCAAGCTAATACAGCCCTGGCAGGCTCCCTTTTTACAGCACTCTATGGAAAAATCTGATTGCAACACTGACAAACTTCTTGAAGGGGAATATACTATCCTTCCACAGAAATAGCTTCAGAAACTTTAAACTAAGTCAGGTACGAGTTAGGGTAAGGTGAATATTTTGAAGACATGACAGAAAAAAAACACATTGCTGGGACGTTTGTGGTCAGCTGCAAATGAGAAACACCCTACAGTTGACTAAGATGCATAATTGAACTGAAAGGAATACTTGTTTCCTAAAACCTTTGAACTGGGAAATTCTTTAGGAATCTGGTAAAGGACAGATGAGTATTTCTATCTAATTTTCTTAGGGATTTGGGATATTATATTCAGAACTATCTTCCTTTCGGTATGCAGCACAAGAATTATTATATTAGGAACTTCCTAATATTTGGCTTATTAATGTGAAATAAATGAAATCCATAGCTAGATTATACCAATATCCAAATGTCAACGATAAACATGAATTCTCCTGCTCCTGAAAGAAAGAGGCAGATCTTGTCGTAACCAAGGAAGAAGATAAAATCATTTCTAAAAGCAAAGTAAGAGATGAGGAATTCTGTCTTCAGGGTGGCTTGATCAAGCAGTGTACAGTATTCCTCTGTGATATGACAGAATCAGTGGGTCTCTTACCTTGGTGAGAGATTTGAGTCCTAATGCTGCCACCACAGCTCCAGTAGTAGCACTGACATAAGCAGTGCCCAACTGTCTGCAAAACAAGTAGACAACTTGTTGACACTAATAATGGAATAGAATATAGAATAGAATAGAATAGAATAGAATAGAATAGAATAGAATAGAAT